TACATTTGATACTTTATTTTTCATGTTTACGATTATTATTTATTTTTATTCAATACATATGGCGTGAAATTGGCCCCATGCAGATGCTTCACATTTATGCATCCGGTGAAATATATCTGTAGCTACACCAAACTCCACTAATGATATCTCTACAATAATATGTGGTCCTCTGTAGCTCAGCTGGTAGAGCACGGCGCTTGTAACGCCAAGGTAGTGGGTTCGATCCCCGGGACCACCCATACACAAAAATGTATGCACGCATGACTGTAGTCGCTTTGGATAAAAGCGTCTGCTAAATGGCATATTTTTATAATATGACAAGGGGAATTTTATTTTCATAGCTACTTCCCACCACTAGAGGCGTACACACCAATGTCGCTACGTAATCTAAGAACGGTCGCTTTTTTTATTACGTTACAGGAAACACTAACGTGATCACGCATGAAAACAAATGCAAAAAGTTTAACTATAAAACATAGATATTTAATCTTTGTATTGACTCAAAGTTAATATGGGACGCGAGTCAAGGTATGTGGGGAGTTAAAATGTATCTTGTACTGTATCCTTTTAGACTGTTTTGGAGGGTTAAAAATCGTAGCTAGCAAGTATGCAACGTTGATCTAACGCGCTAGCTAACCAACAACAGTAAGTTAGCTATAACTGTAACGTTTACTGACCATTGTGTGATAGCTAGATATATAGTTTGCTAGCCAAATGAAATACTTTATAAAGCATTCGCAAACGACACAATTCTGTCAAACAAATTGTCCATGTGCAGTACTGTTGTATGTACTCGCTAGCACAAAACGTCGACGTCACAGTTCATATGTCAGTTGTTTTAGTAAAGTTTATGAAGTGTTTAGGGGTCTCAACTCCACGATTGTAACGTTATATCTCGGTGGAGTTCAGGAGGTTGGTGGCACCGTGGGGAGGACGGGCTCGTGGAAATGGCTGGAGTAGAATCGATGGAATGGTATCAAACACATGGTATCATTCAATCGTTCCAACCATTATTATGAGCCGGCTCCACTCAGCAGCCTCCACTGGTGGGTTTCGACGACTGTGGGCGGAGTGTACGTCCGACTCGCTGTCAGTCGATGCAAGGAAATCTAAAGGCACAACCTAGATTCATAAGTAGTTGAACATGTTATTACTCAAATCTCTTGAGTGACAAACTGACACGTTTTGACACGTGTCAAAAACTACTTTATATCGAAGGAGTGCCTTTGATTTATTTGACGGACTGCACATCCTGAGTTCGGCGCTTGTCGACCGTTGGACCCGGTTACATGTTTTCTACGCATGAGTTTAGCTATCTCAACATCGCCAAGTGTGATCAGGGATTTCTATTGGAGAAGCGGGTTTAGCCTATCTCCATATTGAGCTGTATTTGCAAAAACTGCTTCCCCAATAGAAATCCTCGATCACACTTGTAGGCGACGTTGGCTAGCTAAGCTTATGTGTAGAAACGGTCGTCTCGCGCCGAACTGCACAGAAAATGAACAACTAATGAAGAATTTCACTTCACTCATTGACTTCTCAATCCCCGGCCTGGTCTGTTTTGCAAGCATTCCCAGAAGTCTTGTGATGATGCGCCCCTGGGTTAAGAAACTCTGTGGTGTAGTCAGAGGTTCAGTCCACCCACACTCATTTCTGCTCAACTCCATTGATTTGATGTACATTGTGGAGTTGAGAAACTTGGCTATGAAGTAGCTACGTTAATATATGACAATGTTTGTCAGGCATTACAGGAAACGGTCGGCTTCAAGGGGTAGGTCTGGTAGTCGATCAAAGAGCCGTTCCCCGGACAAACGCTCCAAGAAGGATGATGGGGCTGCCTCACGAAACCGAGACAGGGACCGCAACAGGCGGGAAGAGAGGTCTCGCAGCCGTGACCGCCGCCGATCACGGTCCAGAGACAGGAAGCGCCCCAGGTAAGCTGTGTGTGTGAAAGCAAGAGAGACTGAGACCAAGAGAGTGGTCAAGTTCATCTTAGTATGTGTGTCTTGGAATGTGAAATAAATACCTGGTCTGATCTTGTTATTGAATTTGTCTGATGTGGTCTAGACGCTCTAGGAGTCGGGAGAAGAGGCGGTCCAGAAGCCGTGACAGGAGCAGAAGGTCTAGGAGCCGAGGACGCAGATCACGATCCGCCAGCCCTAGCAAAAGCAGGAAAACTGATGAGAAGTGAGTTATTACCAGCAGGTTATTACGCATCAAAGACCCTGTGAGGATGTCTTAAGGATATACAGTACCAGTCAAACGTTTGGACACACCTACTAATTCCAGGGTTTTTCTTTATTTTTACTATTTTCTACATTGTAGAATAATAGTGAAGACATCAAAACTATGAAATAACACATATGGAATTATGTAGTAACCAAAGAAGTGTTAAACAAATCAAAATATATTTTATATTTGACATTCTTCAAAGTAGCCACCTTTTGCCTTGATGACAGCTTTGCAAACTCTTGCCATTCTCTCAACCAGCTTCATGAGGTAGTCACCTGGAATGCATTTCAATTAACCGGTGTGCCTTAATGCGTTTGAGCCAATCAGTTGTGTTGTGACAAAGTAGGGGTGGTATAACCGAAGATAGCCCTATTTGGTAAAAGACCAAGTCCATATTATGGTAAGAACAGCTCAAATAAGCAAGAGAAACGATAGTCAGTCCATCATTACTTTAAGAGATGAAGGTCAGTCAATCCAGAAATTTCAAGAACTATGATAATAATATAATAATAATTATGTCATTTAGCAGACGCTTTTATCCAAAGCGACTTACAGTCATGCGTGCATACATTTTTTGTGTATGGGTGGTCCCGGGATCGAACCCACTACCCTGGCGTTACAAGCGCCATGCTCTACCAGCTGAGCTACAGAGGACCTGTAGCTGGTTCTCATGAGGACCGCCACAGGAAAGGAAGACCCAGAGTTACCTCTGCTGCGGAGGATAAGTTCATTAGAGTTAACCAGCCCTCAGAAATTGCAAGCCCAAATAAATTTAACATTTTAAATTTTATTCATTTTAGCAGACGCTCTTATCCAGAGCGCTTACAGTTAGCACATACATTATTTTATCGAACCCAACCCTGGCGTTGCAAACGCCATGCTCTACCAACTGAGCTACATCCCCTGCCGGCCATTCCTCCCCTACCCTGGACGACGCTGGGCCAATTGTGCGCCGCCCCCATGGGTCTCCCGGTCGAGGCCGGCTAAGACATAGCCTGGATACGAACCAGGATCTCTAGTGGCACAGCTAGCACTGCGATGCAGTGCCTTAGACCACTGCGCCACCGGGAGACTCTAAAATGTAAAATTTATTTGGGCTGCAATTTCTGAGGCTGGTAACTCTAATGAACTTATCCTCCGCAGCAGAGGTAACTCTGGGTCTTCCTTTCCTGTGGCGGTCCTCATGAGAACCAGCTACAGGTCCTCTGTAGCTCAGCTGGTAGAGCACGGCGCTTGTAACGCCAGGGTAGTGGGTTCGATCCCCGGGACCACCCATACACAAAAATGTATGCACGCATGACTGTAGTCGCTTTGGATAAAAGCGTCTGCTAAATGGCATATTTTTATAATATGACAAGGGGAATTTTATTTTCATAGCTACTTCCCCACCACTAGAGGCGTACACACCAATGTCGCTACGTAATCTAAGAACGGTCGCTTTTTTTATTACGTTACAGGAAACACTAACGTGATCACGCATGAAAACAAATGCAAAAAGTTTAACTATAAAACATAGATATTTAATCTTTGTATTGACTCAAAGTTAATATGGGACGCGAGTCAAGGTATGTGGGGAGTTAAAATGTATCTTGTACTGTATCCTTTTAGACTGTTTTGGAGGGTTAAAAATCGTAGCTAGCAAGTATGCAACGTTGATCTAACGCGCTAGCTAACCAACAACAGTAAGTTAGCTATAACTGTAACGTTTACTGACCATTGTGTGATAGCTAGATATATAGTTTGCTAGCCAAATGAAATACTTTATAAAGCATTCGCAAACGACACAATTCTGTCAAACAAATTGTCCATGTGCAGTACTGTTGTATGTACTCGCTAGCACAAAACGTCGACGTCACAGTTCATATGTCAGTTGTTTTAGTAAAGTTTATGAAGTGTTTAGGGGTCTCAACTCCACGATTGTAACGTTATATCTCGGTGGAGTTCAGGAGGTTGGTGGCACCGTGGGGAGGACGGGCTCGTGGAAATGGCTGGAGTAGAATCGATGGAATGGTATCAAACACATGGTATCATTCAATCGTTCCAACCATTATTATGAGCCGGCTCCACTCAGCAGCCTCCACTGGTGGGTTTCGACGACTGTGGGCGGAGTGTACGTCCGAACTCGCTGTCAGTCGATGCAAGGAAATCTAAAGGCACAACCTAGATTCATAAGTAGTTGAACATGTTATTACTCAAATCTCTTGAGTGACAAACTGACACGTTTTGACACGTGTCAAAAACTACTTTATATCGAAGGAGTGCCTTTGATTTATTTGACGGACTGCACATCCTGAGTTCGGCGCTTGTCGACCGTTGGACCCGGTTACATGTTTCTACGCATGAGTTTAGCTATCTCAACATCGCCAAGTGTGATCAGGGATTTCTATTGGAGAAGCGGGTTTAGCCTATCTCCATATTGAGCTGTATTTGCAAAAACTGCTTCCCCAATAGAAATCCTCGATCACACTTGTAGGCGACGTTGGCTAGCTAAGCTTATGTGTAGAAACGGTCGTCTCGCGCCGAACTGCACAGAAAATGAACAACTAATGAAGAATTTCACTTCACTCATTGACTTCTCAATCCCCGGCCTGGTCTGTTTTGCAAGCATTCCCAGAAGTCTTGTGATGATGCGCCCCTGGGTTAAGAAACTCTGTGGTGTAGTCAGAGGTTCAGTCCACCCACACTCATTTCTGCTCAACTCCATTGATTTGATGTACATTGTGGAGTTGAGAAACTTGGCTATGAAGTAGCTACGTTAATATATGACAATGTTTGTCAGGCATTACAGGAAACGGTCGGCTTCAAGGGGTAGGTCTGGTAGTCGATCAAAGAGCCGTTCCCCGGACAAACGCTCCAAGAAGGATGATGGGGCTGCCTCACGAAACCGAGACAGGGACCGCAACAGGCGGGAAGAGAGGTCTCGCAGCCGTGACCGCCGCCGATCACGGTCCAGAGACAGGAAGCGCCCCAGGTAAGCTGTGTGTGTGAAAGCAAGAGAGACTGAGACCAAGAGAGTGGTCAAGTTCATCTTAGTATGTGTGTCTTGGAATGTGAAATAAATACCTGGTCTGATCTTGTTATTGAATTTGTCTGATGTGGTCTAGACGCTCTAGGAGTCGGGAGAAGAGGCGGTCCAGAAGCCGTGACAGGAGCAGAAGGTCTAGGAGCCGAGGACGCAGATCACGATCCGCCAGCCCTAGCAAAAGCAGGAAAACTGATGAGAAGTGAGTTATTACCAGCAGGTTATTACGCATCAAAGACCCTGTGAGGATGTCTTAAGGATATACAGTACCAGTCAAACGTTTGGACACACCTACTAATTCCAGGGTTTTTCTTTATTTTTACTATTTTCTACATTGTAGAATAATAGTGAAGACATCAAAACTATGAAATAACACATATGGAATTATGTAGTAACCAAAGAAGTGTTAAACAAATCAAAATATATTTTATATTTGACATTCTTCAAAGTAGCCACCTTTTGCCTTGATGACAGCTTTGCAAACTCTTGCCATTCTCTCAACCAGCTTCATGAGGTAGTCACCTGGAATGCATTTCAATTAACCGGTGTGCCTTAATGCGTTTGAGCCAATCAGTTGTGTTGTGACAAAGTAGGGGTGGTATACCGAAGATAGCCCTATTTGGTAAAAGACCAAGTCCATATTATGGTAAGAACAGCTCAAATAAGCAAAGAGAAACGATAGTCAGTCCATCATTACTTTAAGAGATGAAGGTCAGTCAATCCAGAAAATTTCAAGAACTATGATAATAATATAATAATAATATGTCATTTAGCAGACGCTTTTATCCAAAGCGACTTACAGTCATGCGTGCATACATTTTTGTGTATGGGTGGTCCCGGGGATCGAACCCACTACCCTGGCGTTACAAGCGCCATGCTCTACCAGCTGAGCTACAGAGGACCTGTAGCTGGTTCTCATGAGGACCGCCACAGGAAAGGAAGACCCAGAGTTACCTCTGCTGCGGAGGATAAGTTCATTAGAGTTACCAGCCTCAGAAATTGCAGCCCAAATAAATTTAACATTTTAAATTTTATTCATTTTAGCAGACGCTCTTATCCAGAGCGACTTACAGTTAGCACATACATTATTTTATCGAACCCACAACCCTGGCGTTGCAAACGCCATGCTCTACCAACTGAGCTACATCCCCTGCCGGCCATTCCCTCCCCTACCCTGGACGACGCTGGGCCAATTGTGCGCCGCCCCATGGGTCTCCCGGTCGAGGCCGGCTAAGACATAGCCTGGATACGAACCAGGATCTCTAGTGGCACAGCTAGCACTGCGATGCAGTGCCTTAGACCACTGCGCCACTCGGGAGACTCTAAAATGTAAAATTTATTTGGGCTGCAATTTCTGAGGCTGGTAACTCTAATGAACTTATCCTCCGCAGCAGAGGTAACTCTGGGTCTTCCTTTCCTGTGGCGGTCCTCATGAGAACCAGCTACAGGTCCTCTGTAGCTCAGCTGGTAGAGCACGGCGCTTGTAACGCCAGGGTAGTGGGTTCGATCCCCGGGACCACCCATACACAAAAATGTATGCACGCATGACTGTAAGTCGCTTTGGATAAAAGCGTCTGCTAAATGGCATATTATTATTATATTATTATCATAGTTCTTGAAATGTTCTGGATTGACTGACCTTCATGTCTTAAAGTAATGATGGACTGACTATCGTTTCTCTTTGCTTATTTGAGCTGTTCTTGCCATAATATGGACTTGGTCTTTTACCAAATAGGGCTATCTTCGGTATACCACCCCTAATTTGTCACAACACAACTGATTGGCTCAAACGCATTAAGGCACACCGGTTAATTGAAATGCATTCCAGGTGACTACCTCATGAAGCTGGTTGAGAGAATGGCAAGAGTTTGCAAAGCTGTCATCAAGGCAAAAGGTGGCTACTTTGAAGAATGTCAAATATAAAATATATTTTGATTTGTTTAACACTTCTTTGGTTACTACATAATTCCATAAATTCCATAAATGCTTCACAGAGTTCAAGTAACAGACACATCTCACCATCAACTGTTCAGAGGAGACTGCGTGAATCAGGCCTTCATGGTCGAATTGCTGCAAAGAAACCACTACTAAAGGACACCAATACGAAGATGAGACTTGCTTGGTTCAAGAAACACGAGCAATGGACATTAGACCGGCGGAGTCCAAATTTGAGATTTTTGGATCCAACCGCCGTGTCTTTGTGAGAAGCAGAGTAGGTGAACGGATGATCTCTGCATGTGTGGTTCCCACCGTGAAGCATGGAGGAAGAGGTGTGGGGGTGCTTTGCTGGTGACACTGTCTGTGATTTTATTTAGAATTCAAGGCACACTTAACCAGCATGGCTATCACAGCATTCTGCAGCGATACGCCATCCCATCTGATTTGGGCTTAGTGGGACTATCGTTTGTTTTTCAACAGGACAATGACCCAACACACCTCCAGGCTGTGTAAGGGCTATTTGACCAAGAAGGAGAGTGATGGAGTGCTGCATCCGATGACCTGGCCTCCACAGTCCCCCGACCTCAACCCAATTGAGATGGTTTGGGATGAGTCTGACCGCAGAGTGAAGGAAAAGCAGCCAACACGTGCTCAGCATATGTTTGAACTCCTTCAAGTCTGTTGGAAAATCATTCCTCATGAAGCTGGTTGAGAGAATGCAGAGAGTGTGCAAAGCTGTCATCAAGGCAAAGGGTGGCTACTTTGAAGAATCTCAAATATAAAATATATTCTGATGTATTTAACACTTTTGTGGTTACTACATGATTCCATATGTGTTATTCAATAGTTTTGATATCTTCACTATTATTCTACAATGTAGAAAATAGAAAAAATGAAGAAAAACCCTTGAATGAGTAGGTGTGCCCAAACTTGACTGGTACTGTATATTAAAAAATATATATATATCTTACTTCCACCATATACAATAAAGTTCTCTCTCTTCTGTCTGTTTGGGTTTGCCAATAGGTCTAAAAGCAAGGAAAAAGACAACCCTGAAGCCTCTGCAGAGAAGAAAGTAAAAGAAGAGCAAGAGGAGGTTAAGGTTGAGGATGTGAGTCCTGCTCCAGTGGAGATTGTCTTCAGCAATTTGGAAACACTGAGACTGTGGAATATTTGTGCATGTTTATGTTGTCCCCACAGCAAGACTTTGACCAGAACAAGCTGGAGGAGGAGATGAGGAAGAGGAAGGAGCGAGTGGAGAAGTGGAGGGAGGACCAAAGGAAGAAGGCCCTTGGGAACATTGAGGAGATCAAGAGAGAGATAGAGGAGATGAAGCAGGGAAAGAAGTGGAGTCTGGAGGATGATGATGGTGAGGAACAAGCTCAGAATTTTCATGGCTGTGTTGTGGGTTCATATGTACCTAAATGCATTAGTATCCACATCGAAAGACTGATTTAGATACCTGCCAACACAGGGCCTCACCTGACTTCTCTTCTTTGTTTCAGATGATGACGAGGAAGGCCCAGCTCCTGTGGATGAGCCTGAAGAAGGAGAGGAGGGTAAGGGGTTGGAGGAGAAGGATATAAAGGAGGAGGAGGAGGAGGAAGAAGAGGAGGAGGAAGTGACTCCCATGGAGCAGGAGGCAGAGGATGAGCTGGATACCTTGGACGCCTACATGGAGGAGGTCAAGGAAGAAGTCAAGAAGTTCAACATGGGCCCCCAGTCTAAAGGGAACGACAAGGTTAGTTGGACCATGGCTGCTCCCCAATCAGTTTCCTCCACATATACCTAGCTCATTTGAAATATTACTGTCAATATTTGCTGCTTCTGTCTTTTTTGTGTAATATTTTTTGGCCTCCACACAAACAGAAGGGAGGAGTAAATGTATCCAAAGTTGTCAGCGTTTGCAAAACAAAGAGGGGACCGAATGCACACAAAAAGAAGGGTGAGCTGATGGAGAATGACCAGGATGCAATGGAGGTAAGCAGTTTTGTCCTGTCATGCTATCATTGTCATTGTGTAAATGTTACATAAGAACTGCTATGTCTGAATTCCAAATGGCAACCTATTCCCTATATAGGGCACTACTTTTGACCAGTGCCCGTAGGGTCAAAAGTATTGCACTATGTAGGGAATAGGGTGCCATTTTGGACACGGACCATCTCTCTGGAAACTCTCTTCCAGAAGTCTCAAAGTTCTCTCAGATTTCTCTCACTGAAGAGAACAGGTTCTTACATGTTGTTGTGTCACTGTCTTCCCAGTACTCGTCCGAGGAAGAGGAGGTAGATCTGGCAACAGCTCTGACTGGCTACCAGACCAAGCAGAGGAAGGTGCTGGAGCCAGTGGACCACCAGAAGATTGAGTACGAACCGTACCGCAAGGACTTCTACGTGGAGGTGCCAGAGCTGGCCAAGATGTCTCCTGAGGGTGTGTACATGTAAAACCATTTTTTTGAATAATAATTTCTTGCACTTCTTTTTTCTTCTTTTTTTTAAGAAGGATCTACAGTGAGGGGGAAAAAAGTATTTGATCCCCTGCTGATTTTGTACGTTTGCCCACTGACAAAGAAATTATCAGTCTATAATTTTAATGGTAGGTTTATTTGAACAGTGAGAGACAGAATAACAACAAAAAGATCCAGAAAAAATGCATGTAAAAAATGTTATAAATTGATTTGCATTTTAATGAGGGAAATAAGTATTTGACCCCTCTGCAAAACATGACTTAGTACTTGGTGGCAAAACTCTTGTTGGCAATCACAGAGGTCCGACGTTTCTTGTAGTTGGCCACCAGGTTTGTACACATCTCAGGAGGGATTTTGTCCCACTCCTCTTTGCAGATCTTCTCCAAGTCATTAAGGTTTTCGAGGCTGACGTTTGGCAACTCGAACCTTCAGCTCCCTCCACAGATTTTCTATGGGATTAAGGTCTGGAGACTGGCTAGGCCACTCCAGGACCTTAATGTGCTTCTTCTTGAGCCACTCCTTTGTTTCCTTGGCCGTGTGTTTTGGGTCATTGTCATGCTGGAATACCCATCCACGACCCATTTTCAATGCCCTGGCTGAGGGAAGGAGGTTCTCACCCAAGATTTGACGGTACATGGCCCCGTCCATCGTCCCTTTGATGCGGTGAAGTTGTCCTGTCCCCTTAGCAGAAAAACACCCCCAAAGCATAATGTTTCCACCTCCATGTTTGACGGTGGGGATGGTGTTCTTGGGGTCATAGGCAGCATTCCTCCTCCTCCAAACACAGCGAGTTGAGTTGATGCCAAAGAGCTCGATTTTGGTCTCATCTGACCACAACACTTTCACCCAGTTCTCCTCTGAATCATTCAGATGTTCATTGGCAAACTTCAGACGGCCCTGTATATGTGCTTTCTTGAGCAGGGGGACCTTGCGGGCGCTGCAGGATTTCAGTCCTTCATGGCGTAGTGTGTTACCAATTGTTTTCTTGGTGACTATGGTCCCAGCTGCCTTGAGATCATTGACAAGATCCTCCCGTGTAGTTCTGGGCTGATTCCTCACCGTTCTCATGATCATTGCAACTCCACTAGGTGAGATCTTGCATGGAGCTCCAGGCCGAGGGAGATTGACAGTTCTTTTGTGTTTCTTCCATTTGCGAATAATCGCACCAACTGTTGTCACCTGCTCACCAAGCTGCTTGGCGATGGTCTTGTAGCCCATTCCAGCCTTGTGTAGGTCTACAATCTTGTCCCTGACATCATTGGAGAGCTCTTTGGTCTTGGCCATGGTGGAGAGTTTGGAATCTGATTGATTGATTGCTTCTGTGGACAGGTGTCTTTTTATACAGGTAACAAACTGAGATTAGGATAACTCCCTTTGAGAGTGTGCTCCTAATCTCAGCTCGTTACCTGTATAAAATACACCTGGGAGCCAGAAATCATTGTGATTGAGAGGGGGTCAAATACTAATTTCCCTCATTAAAATGCAAATAAATTTATAACATTTTTGACATGTTTTTCTGGATTTTGTTGTTGTTATTCTGTCTCTCACTGTTCAAATAAACCTACCATTAAAATTATAGACTGATCATTTCTTTGTCAGTGGGCAAACGTACAAAATCAGCAGGGGATCAAATACTTTTTTCCCTCACTGTATTTGCAATGACTGTGATATGTGGTGTTTTTTCCCACTAATCTAAAGTTGAGTGCACTGACTTAGAGTTGGGCGGTATCCAGATTTTCATACCGTTTCTGTACCATACCATGGTATACGGTATTACCAAATGTGTACACGAGGCACTATAACAAAAAACATATATATTTAGTTTGTTTGACAATTTAGGGAACAGGGATCTTGATCCAGGAGGGGATTGAATGTCTCTGCTGTAACCAAGAAGCTTGATCTTGACGTCTAGCCACTTAGTTAGCAAACCAAATGCATAGCTGGAGCGTCTGCTAAATGAGTAAAGCGTCAAATGTAAATGTTAAGATACAAGATGGCACATTATCTTTAAGTCATAGCTGACCATCTAACCCCCTATCCTTTGGTTCCCTATTGGTGAATGCATACAGAGGTGAATGTCCACAGGCTGGACCTGGAGGGAATCGCAGTCAAAGGAAAGGGTTGTCCCAAGCCCATCAAGTCATGGGTGCAGTGTGGCACGTCGATGAAGATCCTAAGTGCATTAAAGAGGTGTGTCACGGACAATGTTTCACATTGTAGCAGATATAATTTACTTGCATATTGTTCCAAACCAATATGACCATAACATACATTTGTTTTGCAATCTGCAGTTGATTAATTTGTCATATATTATCCATACACTTCTAGATAGGTGAGCTAAATGATGTTGTCTTCACATCCAGACACAGCTATGAGAAACCCACACCCATCCAGGCCCAGGCCATCCCAGCCATCATGTCTGGGAGAGACCTCATCGGCATCGCTAAGACCGGCAGTGGAAAGACCATCGCCTTCCTCCTTCCCATGTACCGCCACATCATGGACCAGAGGCCCCTGGAGGAGGCTGAGGGACCCATCGGTAAGGGCCCCTTTACTATGACGTCTTCTGTGGTATAACTACATATCAGTTACACCTCAATGAATCTGAATCTCAATTTTTTGTGTGTAAATCTCAATTAAAATTTGCTGAGCAGAATGGTCATATCTATCAGACAGTATGAAATCTTAACTGTTCAGTGAAGGTCCTGGATTTTGTAAGTGCAAATAAAGGATGAGAATATGATGTCTGAGTTCTATTTTCCATTCTCTTCCACGTGCAGCTGTGATCATGACTCCAACTAGAGAGCTGGCTCTGCAGATCACCAAGGAGTGCAAGAAGTTCTCCAAGCCCCTGAACCTGAGGGTTGTGTGTGTGTATGGAGGCACAGGGATTAGTGAACAGGTAGAACCTCCTCGAACTCTGTATGGTCAGATTTTACACACATGAGCACCTCAATGGAATAACAGTAGTGTTCCATGGTTGTAATTAAGTTTAACCATGAACATTACTATGAATACAATGAACTATTGTACATTGAATTTGAAGATACTGGAGTTGTATGTTTGAATAATCAGTTAGGGAAAGGCAAACAGGATTGTACCTTGTTGGTTGAATATAGATATCTTACTTTCTTGGTTTCTTCCTTGTGGGGCAGATTGCTGAGCTGAAGAGGGGAGCAGAGATCATTGTGTGCACACCAGGCCGAATGATTGACATGTTAGGCGCCAACAGCGGTAAGGGACACACGCCTTGCCCTGTAGCTTTCTTTGTGTTATTGTAGCCAGGCACATATAAGGATAGTGATTTCTGATATGTATTAAACCTGCAGTGTCTGCAATGCCCAGTGTTCTAATACTTTTGGCGTAGAAACGTCACTACTGACCCTGAAAAAACAAGCACTCCAGGTACTGACAGAAGGTGAGCTGGAATTGTCCTGCCTTGCATGGAATGTTTCTGTATGAGAGTCAAGTCAGTACCACTTTACTAAACTCTCAACATTATTTGACCACCTTGGGTTGGGAGTCATATCCTCAAGCTATTTGAAGTGTTCCCTGAAGAATAATGTCAGCTACTGGTAGGTGGAGAGACGATACTGCCTCGTGGTCCTCACATTCAGAGGCGTAAGTCAAGTTTTCACCCAACCTTTATTAAAGTCAAGTTTGCTTGTTAGCCATGTAAAAGTCAGAAAGCTCACTCATGTACAGTGGGGAAAAAAGTATTTAGTCAGCCACCAATTGTGCAAGTTCTCCCACTTAAAAAGATGAGAGGCCTGTAATTTTCATCATAGGTACATGTCAACTATGACAGACAAATTGAGAATTTTTTTTCCAGAAAATCACATTTGTAGGATTTTTTATGAATTTATTTGCAAATTATGGTGGAAAATAAGTATTTGGTCACCTACAAACAAGCAAGATTTCTGGCTCTCACAGACCTGTAACTTCTTCTTTAAGAGGCTCCTCTGTCCTCCACTCGTTACCTGTATTAATGGCACCTGTTTGAACTTGTTATCAGTATAAAAGACACCTGTCCACAACCTCAAACAGTCACACTCCAAACTCCATTATGGCCAAGACCAAAGAGCTGTCAAAGGACACCAGAAACAAAATTGTAGACCTGCACCAGGCTGGGAAGACTGAATCTGCAATAGGTAAGCAGCTTGGTTTGAAGAAATCAACTGTGGGAGCAATTATTAGGAAATGGAAGACATACAAGACCAGTGATAATCTCCCTCGATCTGGGGCTCCACGCAAGATCTCACCCTGTGGGGTCAAAATGATCACAAGAACGGTGAGCAAAAATCCCAGAACCACACGGGGGGACCTAGTGAATGACCTGCAAAGAGCTGGGACCAAAGTAACAAAGCCTACCATCAGTAACACACTACGCCGCCAGGGACTCAAATCCTGCAGTGACAGACATGTCCCTTTGCTTAAGCATAGTACATGTCCAGGCCCGTCTGAAGTTTGCTAGAGTGCATTTGGATGATCCAGAAGAGGATTGGGAGAATGTCATATGGTCAGATGAAACCAAAATAGAACTTTTTGGTAAAAACTCAACCCGTCGTGTTTGGAGGACAAAGAATGCTGAGTTGCATCCAAAGAACACCATACCTACTGTGAAGCATGGGGGTGGAAACATCATGCTTTGGGGCTGTTTTTCTGCAAAGGGACCAGGACGACTGATCCGTGTAAAGGAAAGAATGAATGGGGCCATGTATCATGAGATTTTGAGTGAAAACCTCCTTCCATCAAGCAAGGGCATTGAAGATGAAACGTGGCTCGGTCTTTCAGCATGACAATGATCCCAAACACACCGCCCGGGCAACGAAGGAGTGGCTTCGTAAGAAGAATTTCAAGGTCCTGGAACCATCAGATCCTCCTCTCCACCCTCTCCGAGATGGGCATCTCCGGCGCGGCTCACTCCTGGATTGCGTCCTACCTGACCGGTCGCTCCTACCAAGTGGCGTGGCGGGAAGCTGTCTCCGCACCACGTGCTCTCACCACTGGTGTCCCCCAGGGATCGGTTCTGGGCCCTCTCCTTTTCTCCCTATACACCAAGTCACTTGGCTCTGTCATATCCTCACATGGTCTCTCCTATCATTGCTACGCTGACGATACACAACTAATCTTCTCCTTTCCCCCTTCTGATAACCAGGTGGCGAATCGCATCTCTGCATGTCTGGCAGACATATCAGTATGGATGACGGATCACCACCTCAAGCTGAACCCTGGCAAGACGGAGCTGCTCTTCCTCCCGGGGAAGGACTGCCCGTTCCATGATCTCGCCATCACGGTTGACAACTCCGCTGTGTCCTCCTCCCAGAGTGCGAAGAGCCTAGGCGTGACCCTGGACAACACCCTGTCGTTCTCCGCCAACATCAAGGCGGTGACCCGCTCCTGCAGGTTCATGCTCTACAACATTCGGAGAGTGCGACCCTGCCTTACACAGGAAGCGGCGCAGGTCCTGGTCCAGGCACTTGTCATCTCCCGTCTGGACTACTGCAACTCGCTGTTGGCTGGGGCTCCCTGCCTGTGCCATTAAACCCCTACAACTCATCCAGAATGCCGCAGCCCGTCTGGTGTTTCAACCTTCCCAAGTTCTCTCACGTCACCCCCCTCCTCCGCACACTCCACTGGCTTCCAGTTGAAGCTCGCATCCGCTACAAGACCATGGTGCTTGCCTATGGAGCAGTGAGGGGAACGGCACCTCTGTACCTTCAGGCTCTGATCAGTCCCTACACCCAAACGAGGACGTTGCGTTCATCCACCTCTGGCCTGCTGGCTCCCCTTCCTCTGCGGAAGCACAGCTCCCGCTCAGCCCAGTCAAAACTGTTCGCTGCTCTGGCACCCAATGGTGGAACAAGCTCCTCACGACGCCAGGACAGCGGAGTCACTCACCACCTTCCGGAGACATTTGAAACCCCACCTCTTTAAGGAAACCTGGGATAGGATAAAGTATTCCTTCTAACCCCCCCCCCCCCCCCCCCCCCCCCCCCCCCCCCCCAAATTGTAAAGTGGTTATCCCACTGGCTATAGGGTGAACGCACCAATTTGTGAGTCGCTCTGGCTAAGAGCGTCTGCTAAATGACGTTAATGTGCCCTTGAGCAAGGCACTTAACCCTAATTGCTCCTGTAAGTCGCTCTGGTTAAGAGCGTCTGCTAAATGACTAAAATGTAAATGTAAATGTCCTAGCCAGTCTCCAGATCTAAACCCTTAGAAAATCTTTGGAGGGAATTGAAAGTCCGTGTTGCCCAGCGACAGCCTCAAAACATCACTGCTCTAGAGGAGATCTGCATGGAGGAATGGGCCAAAATACCAGCAACAGTGTGTGAAAACCTTGTGAAGACTTACAGAAAACATTTGACCTGTGTCATTGCCAACAAAGGGTATATAACAAAGTATTGAGAAACTTTTGTTATTGACCAAATACTTATTTTCCACCACAATTTGCAAATAAATTCATTAAAAATCCTACAATGTGATTTTCTGGAGAAAAAAAAATCTCATTTTGTCTGTCATAGTTGACGTGTACCTATGATAAAAATTACAGGCCTCTCTCATCTTTTTAAGTGGGAGAACTTGCACAATTGGTGGCTGACTAAATACTTTTTTCCCCCACTGTATGTCAATATATTTAGATCAGTAATTAGTAAATGTTGTTTTATGACTATGTAAATTGAAGAAAGAACATGTAATGAAACAGACAGTAAAGCTTTCTTTACTTCCACACATGTGAGGTAATCTCTGTTTCCTTTGTAGGTGAAAAGGTGATCAGATAGTGCTTGATGTGGCCCCAACTCTTTTATTGTTTTGGCTGTTTTCTGTCATTTACAGGTTCCTCGTGCCTTTCAGATGGTACGCAAGACAAGCGAAACATAGAAACCAAATAATCTGGCCCCTTAAAAGTAGTCCTAAACAGAATAAATGGCATTTGTATGAATTGAAGTGCAGTAGTTAATGCCCTAGGAAAAGGATAGCCTGTTTGTTTAGGCTTGTGTAGTGATTGGGTGGGGCAAAATTGATGCAGTTAAATATTGCGATATTACTTTTGGACAATATTATATCGATATTTGACTCAAGTATATAATTTAAAAAAGATATATATATATTTTTTTGCTTGTGTAGGTAGCTACGCTAGTAGGCTCTACCTGCGCCGAAACAACTCGGGTATTTTTCATCGTATAGCTTATCCATCTTCTTTTTAAATGGTTTTCAGCACTTATTTCCCTGATTGATCAAAACTCGTTTTCTCATGCTCTCTCTTGTCTCTCTGTAGCAGACATATAGTGAGCAATATATTTGGAACGTCAAATTGCAATACATATACAGTCGTGGTCAAAAGTTTTGAGAATGATTCAAGTATTGGTCTTCACAAAGTTTGCTGCTTCAGTGTTTTTAGATATTTTTGTCAGATGTTACTATGGTATACTGAAGTATAATTACAAGCATTCCATAAGTGTCAAAGGCTTTTATTGACAATTACATTAAGTTTATGCAAAGAGTCAATATTTGCAGTGTGGACCCTTCTTTTTCAAGACCTCTGCAATCTGCCCTGGCATGCTGTCAATTAACTTCTGGGCCACATCCTGACTGATGGCAGCCCATTCTTGCATAATCAATGCTTGGAGTTTGTCAGAATTTGTGGGGTTTTGTTTGTCCACCCACCTCTTGAGTTCTCAATGGTATTAAGGTCTGGGGAGTTTCCTGGCCATGGACCCAAAATGTCGATGTTTTGTTCCCCGAGCCACTTAGTTATCACTTTTGCCTTATGGCAAGGTGCTCCATCATGCTGGAAAAGGCAAAATTGTGAATGAGCCCACTCCCTTGGCTGAGAAGCAACCCCACACATGAATGGTCTCAGGATGCTTTACTGTTGGCATGACACAGGACTGATGGTAGCGCTCACCTTGTCTTCGGACAAGCTTTTTTCCGGATGCCCGAAACAATCGGAAAGGGGATTCATCAGAGAAAATGACTTTAACCCAGTCCTTAGCAGTCCAATCCCTGTACCTTTGCAGAATATTAGTCTTTCCCAGATGTTTTTCGTGGAGAGAAGTGGCTTCCTCGCTGCCCTTCTTGACACCAGGCCATCCTCCAAAAGTATTTGCCTCACTGTGCGTGCAGATGCACTCACACCTGCCTGCTGCCATACCTGAGCAAGCTCTGCACTGGTGGTGCCCCGATCCCGCAGCTGAATCAATTTTAGGAGACGATCCTGGCACTTGCTGGACTTTCTTGGGCGCCCTGAAGCCTTCTTCACAACAATTGAACCTCTCTCCTTGAAGTTCTTGATGATCCGATAAATTGTTGATTTAGGTGCAATCTTACTAGCAGCAATATCCTTGCATGTGAAGCCCTTATTGTGCAAAGCAATGATGACGGCACGTGTTTCCTTGCAGGTAACCATGGTTAACAGAGGAAGAACAATGATTTCAAGCACCACCCTCCTTTTAAAGCTTCCAGTCTGTTATTCTAAGTCCATCAGCATGACAGAGTGATCTCCAGCCTTGTCCTCGTCAACACTCTCACCTGTGTTAACGATTGGAATCACTGACATGATGTCAGCTGGTCCTTTTGTGACCGGGCTGAAATGCAGTGGAAATGTTTTTTTGGGATTAAGTTCATTTTCATGGCAAAGATGGGCTTTGCAATTAATTGCAATTCATCTGATCACTCTTCATAACATTCTGGAGTATATTCAAATTGCCATCATAAAAACTGAGGCAGCAGACTTTGTGAAAATTAATATTTGTGAAATTCTCAAAACTTTTGACCACAACTGTAGAATCGCAATACATCGTATCAGCACCTAAGTATCGTAATATTGTATTGTGAGGTCCCTAGCAATTCCCTGCCCTATTGTTAATGGGTTTGTGTGTGTATTTACACCAGTAGCTATGTTTGTGTGAACGCTTTGGGTGAGCGTTCTTTCCAGAGATTAACTTGTTTTCCTTTGTCACTATGCTCTCCTTGTGTGTGTAGGTCGAGTCACAAACCTGCGCAGAGTCACGTACGTGGTGGTGGACGAGGCAGATAGAATGTTCGACATGGGCTTTGAGCCACAGGTAGGGGCTCCTCCAGATTATTATTATTATTTTTAAACAGTAGACCAATCAAGGCACAGTATCATTATTTGTAAAGAATTGATCTAAGGAGGTGTTTAAGGATCTTATAACGCAAAAATAGATTTGCATCAATTCATCCTACGTTCACCTGGCCCTGGCACCAATAACAATAAATGGGTATAAAACATTCCTCTTATCTCCTGTAATGGTTCTCACCCACAGGTGATGCGTATCATGGACAACGTGCGTCCGGACCGGCAGACAGTGATGTTCTCAGCCACGTTCCCGCGGGCCATGGAGGCCCTGGCCAGGAGGATCCTGTCCAAACCCATCGAGGTGCAGGTGGGAGGCAGGAGCGTGGTGTGCTCTGACGTGGAGCAGCATGTGGTAAGACTTGCCTTTACATACTCCGGCTGCGTCCCAAATGGCACCCTATATAGTGCACCACTTTTGACCGGGGGACCATACGGCTCTGGTCAAAAGTAATGCACTATATAGGGAATATTGCTCAACTTTATTGTCTATTCTTGTTGGGAGTGTAAATGTGTCCCATGTGTGGCTCATACACATAGTAATTCAGACAGAAAACATAAAGAACAGTAAGACTAAATGGTAGCATAATTGCTTAGTTGCTAAATGACTGTGGTTGGCCACATCTCCCCATCTAGCTGGTAATCGAGGAGGACCAGAAGTTCCTGAAGCTGCTGGAGATACTGGGTCATTACCAGGAGAAGGGTTCAGTCATCATCTTTGTGGACAAACAGGAGCACGCTGACGGGCTGCTAAAAGATCTGATGAAGGCCTCCTACCCCTGCATGTCTCTGCACGGCGGTAATGTCATGCAAACACATGAGCAGTGCTCTACATTTTTTATTTTTAGTCATTTAGCAGATGCTCTTATCCAGAGCGACTTACAGTTAGTGAGTGCATACATTTTTTCATACTGGTCCCCCGTGGTAATCGAACCCACAACCCTGGCGTTGCAAGCGCCATGCTCTACCAACTGAGCTACCTCTAGCGTCATTAGTCTGAGGCTCCGTCCCAAATGGTCCTCTGGTCAATAGTAGTGCATTATGTTGAGTATTGGGTTCCATTTGGGACGGCTACTGTCAACCACAGTTTGAAAGTCACCTGGCTGAGCTCATTTTGTATCTTAGACCATTTTTCTTATTAGATCTGATGAATTGTTTATGGTGGGTCATCATTTTGTCTCTGCCATGTCAGTGGTTTTAAATCCTATCCTTTGATAATAAGCTTTTGTTTATCTCTTTCCCCTCCCTGTAGGTATTGACCAGTATGACAGAGACAGCGTCATCAATGACTTTAAGAACGGGGCGTGTCGGCTGATGGTGGCCACCTCTGTGGCAGCCAGGGGGCTGGACATCAAGCAGCTGATCCTGGTCGTCAACTACAACTGTCCCAACCACTACGAGGACTACGTTCACAGGGCCGGACGCACAGGGAGAGCCGGGAACAAAGTGAGTGGTGGAGTCCTGACGGCTACACTACTAGTCTATCAATGTTTTTTTACTTTTGCTGGTTACAAAAATCTGGAATTCCTGACTGAAATGTATTGTAATGAGACATCCTTAAAGGTCCTGCACAGTCAAAATCATGTTTTTCATGAAATTTTATGTTACACTACATGGCAAAAGTATGTGGATACCCCTTCAAATTAGTGGATTAGACTATTTCAGCCACACCAGTTGCTGAAAGGTGTATAAAATCGAGCGCACAGCCATGCAATCTCCATAGACAAACATTGGCAGTAGAATGGCCTTACTGAAGAGCTCAGTGCCTTGCAACGTGGCACTGTCATAGGAAGCAGTTGTCATGTCATTACATCAAGAGATATGCCAAACGGGAGATTCATGATGTGATGTATGACGGGATAGGATGTTGCATGAGTTTCTTTGTGTATCAGCAAATTTGCATGTGAAATCTCACTGCTCACTGCGTCCATGTTACTTGATGACATAGGCGTTTTCAAAGAACTATCAGTCAAGGTGAGCTCCCCGCCCACTCAGCCTATTAGCTCCCCGCCCACTCAGTCTGTCTCTTCAGACTTCCTTGAAGTTTGACATGAGTTATTTCTGTCAAATTTAGTATTTTTCTTGGGAAGAAATATTGTGGGTGATGTTTTAGTCACTCCAAATACAATTTTTCACAGGAATCAGAATTGTAATATATCACTGTGCAAAAATCTAACATTTTTGTCCTCCAAGGACCTCTTCAACCATATTAGGAAAATATTAATTCTCACTGAAACATTTTATTGATGTTCCCCAGAAACTCTTAATGTAAAACCACTCTGGTTTTGATTTGTCCCAGGGCTTTGCCTATACCTTCATCACAGATGAGCAGGCGCGCTACGCTGGGGACATCATCAAGGCCCTGGAGCTCTCTGGGTCCCCTGTGCCCAATGAACTGGAGCAGTTGTGGCTCTCCTTCAAAAACCAACGGCAAGCGGTAAGAGGCAGACTCAAGCAGTGCTGTTCACTGGTGGTGGTTTGGAAGCTCACCGTCTTTGTATGCAGAACGTGTGGCCAGCAAACTGTATTAGAGCTGAACAATCTTTAGAGTTTGGAGTTGAAGATCAGAGATTTACACATTCTGTGGGGTTATTTCTTCAAACCCTTGGTTTTTCAACTCTTATTCAACAATATTAGACCTGTTTGTCGCTGAATTACCGCCCCTTGCTTCCAACCAGCATGGTGCCAAATCAGTAAGTGAATGTGACACCCTATCTATACCTGCTTGTTATTTCCCAGGAGGGTAAAAGCATCAAGAGCAGCAGCGGGTTCTCAGGGAAGGGCTTCAAGTTTGACGAGACGGAGCATGCTCTGGCCAATGAGAGGAAGAAGCTGCAGAAGGCTGCTCTGGGTCTGCAGGACTCCGATGATGAGGATGGAGCCCTGGATGTGAGTACAGTCACCACACGGTCACCTGGTTTCAAGAGTCTTCTAAAGCTTTGAGTAGAATGCCAACTGTGGCTTGATTATGTCTTGAATTTCCTCCATTGTGGTCAAACAATATGTTTCTAAATGTCATAGACTATGTACAATATTGACCCAATGTCTCACCCTGTCCTTACAGATTGATGAGCAGATCGAGAACATGTTCAACTCGAAGAAGAGGGTGAAGGATCTGTCGGCTCCAGGGGGAGGGGTAGGGTCGCCCAGTGCCGCTGCGGCTGCAGCAGGGGGCCTGGCCAACCTCGGTGCCCCCTCCGCTGGAAACATCCAGAAACTGGAGATGGCCAAGAGACTGGCTCTCAGGATTAACGCCCAGAAGAACCTTGGGGCTGAGGCTCAGGTGGGTGGCGGTGTGTGTGAGTTTTGGTGGTCTTCACCTTCCTCTTCCATTCTAATTTTACACATTGCTCTCTATCTCTGGACAGGATGTGATGCAACAGGCCACCAACGCCATCCTGAGAGGAGGCACCATCATGGCCCCCTCCGTCTCGGCCAAGACCATCGCCGAGCAGCTGGCTGAGAAGATCAACGCCAAGCTCAACTACATCCCTGTGGAGAAGCTGGAGGAGGAGAGGCAGGCGGCCGAGCAGGCCGAGACCGTCAAGAGATACGAAGAGGAGCTAGAAATCAATGATTTCCCTCAGGTCAGTTTTATATAGGGCTGAATCCTAAATAGCACCCTTTTCCCTAAATAGTGCATTACTTTTACCCTAATCCCTATACAGTCCCTTATCCCTATGGGCCCTGGTCAAAAGTAGTACACTCCATAGGGTGTCATTTGGGAAGCACCCCTAGGGTGTAGGTGCAAGACTCTGCTCATTGAATCTCCAAATGGAAGGTATACTCACCGTGGCTACGTGAACGATGCATTATCATGCTCATTCTCTCTCAGTTGAACATTGAACGGTCTGTTTACTATGTCTGGGCCTTGACAGAGCTTAAGGTAGAATTATAGCGGGTAGATCTATTTGCATTTGATCAACATTTGTTTGACCTAGCAACAATCAAGTGATTCTGGTTTAAGTAGTTTATCCCACAAGTGGTAGGTGGTACAGACCTTGCAAACAATCTCTGAGTAGGATTGCTGAGATAGGATCAGGTCCCCTCTCTTATCCATTATGATTTGAAAGGCAAAACTGCTCCTAGATCAGCACTCCTACTCTGAGATGCTTTGTTAATACGGGCCTAACTAAACAGGAATGTGTAATGCGTCTGTTTGCTGCGTTCCACTAGACTGCAAGGTGGAAGGTCACGTCTAAGGAGGCCCTCCAGAGGATCGGAGAGTACTCGGAGGCAGCCATCACCATCAGAGGAACATACTTCCCTCCAGGCAAAGAGCCCAAAGAGGGAGAACGCAAGATCTACCTGGCCATTGAGAGTAAGCAGCTGTGTTCACCAATGTGGTAGAATTGAGTGTTGCATGTTAGCAATAGTGAGTTTTTTTTTAATGGTTGCCACTTGTTGTAATATTTTTACGTGTTTGATTGACAGGTGCAAATGAGCTGGCCGTTACGAAGGCCAAGGCTGAGATCACACGGCTCATCAAGGAGGAGCTTATCAGATTAGTAAGTTCTGTCAATAGAATTAGAATCATTCTATTTCTATGGTTCTGTCCTCCATTACCTATTCTATACCATACAAGTAGTAGAGTTTTACTTCAAATCGTCTATGTGGATGATTCAATTAGTGATGCTAGGGGTTCTGAATCATGCTAATCTACATCATCTACTTGTTGGCTGAATCATTGAATGATCCTGTATATGAACACCAGTATTCAAAATAAATGACAAAGTAATTTGCTTAGCGAAATTAAAATGTTTTTCCCTCATTGCTCAATGTTTTTACTTTCTCTAATTTTAGCAAAACTCCTACCAACCCACCAGCAAAGGAAGATACAAGGTTTTGTAAAGAGGATGAGATTGGGCTCAGAGGCAGTGAATCCTGGCTCCAACCTTTCATCATATTTGTTTCAGAATGTTTTAGTATTTTTTAAATTAGACCCCCAATGTCTTCAGGTAACGATTGTTCTTTTGAGATTCCCCCTCTGTACTTTAAATTGAGATTTGGTCATGGTTTTTAGGTCACACGATGCAAAATGCATCTGATTTCCGTTCTATAGTATACCAGCTGAAATGTAACGGTCTCTCTACCACCATGGCTCAAACTATTTATTATTTTTGTCTTTGAACATCAAGCTTATGTAGTTGTAAGATCCTGTATTATTTCTGTGTGTAAAATAATATTTGGGGCTACTTTTCACTGGTCTGCAGTCATCTGAACAAGTAATGAATCACACATTGTTTTTATGAACAGCCCTTGAATGATGTAACATGTTTTTACTTCTTTCCCTCCCTAATAAAACAATGTGTTGGTAAGGAACATTTTGTCACTGGTCTGTGTCACAGACTTCTATATTATGTTTTTTTTTATTATTCTATGTTACTGCAATATGTTTGTAGTGACTAAATCCTATCAGGCTGTGATTGGGTTTTGAGAGGCAAAGAAACAAGTGTGTAATGTATGAGAGAACCTATTGACGGAATAGGTTACCATCAAGACAATGGAGCTTTATTTATGTGCTGTAACTTGATTGCTTAATAATTTAGGATGGCCTACTGTGAAAATGTCAAATGAAAGAACCTGATGTTTATTCATTTTTTTCTGTGGACTAAATCAGGGGTGTCAAACATCCAGCCCGCAGGTGGTTCGAGTAAAAACTTCAAATCAAAATAAACAATTTTTTTTTTAAATATGGTGTTATGATTTGTGATACAAGATTCATTCATGTATGGAGAGATCATAATCTGTATGTGGACAGAGAACAAGGACAAGCCATGTGTTAGTGGTGTCACGAGTGAGTAACAGAAGGTCAGTGTGCCAGGATAGATTGGGGGCCACTGTTGCTAATCTTAGGATGGGTGCGTGAATTGAATGGCCTGGCAAGGGTGCCACACCCTTATGTCCGTACCCCCTGTCATTGAATCCAATATTGTGACCATTAAATAATGACTGAATCCAATCTCCATCTGTGTAACATACTCTCTTGCATCCTGAACTTCTCAATACCAGAAACTCATAACATATGGTGAGGGGGAAAAACTCCATACACTTTAAAAGGACTAAAACCAAATTGAAACTGTTGAATTTATAATGGACCTACATTCATATAGTTTCTTGGCTGGGTCCAGCTCGCTAATAATCACCAAAATGAAAGCTAGACAGTCAGGGAGCTAAAAACACACACAAGTATGGATAGAGGACCATTTTTTGCATCTTTTGACAGTGAGGAAATATAACACATTTTTGAGTGCGGCCCTCCGGTATGTATGGAAGCATTTAGCTGCCCAAACTCAATTGGAAATGTAAATGGTCAAATGCTAAATCAGTATCATGTTTGCAATTCCTTTGCCAATGCATTTTTTTGAGAAAAGTCCAATTGAAATGCAAAAAAAATATGATTTGAGTACGCATAATTTCTGCCAATTTTGGAAAATAAATAACAGTGTGTTTTGATGTTTCATTTCCATGGTTATAATAACCCAAGATGGACCAGAGCCTGTCATTTCCAATGGGATAAAATGAGTCATAGTGGGCAGAACAAGCAAGGAGGTGGGCTGAGCCAAGCACACACTAGCGAGATCCTATTGGCTTGTTCTACATTTTAAATTTTAGTCATTTAGCAGATGCTCTTATCCAGAGCGACTTATAGTTAGTGAGTGCATACATTTTTCATACTGGCCCCCCATGGGAAACGAACCCACAACCCTGGCGTTGCAAGCACCATGCTCTACCAACTGAGCTACGGCATGTATTTGTATATTTCCGTTAGGGAACGCCTAGTCTGTGAAGTGCGCATGTGCAATAAATCAATTTGCTCTTGCACTCCTAAATAACAATTTTTTGAAACTTTGGAAAAGTGTAAAGTCTAAAAAACTTAGGCCACTCTGTTTAGGAACATATTGTAGTTTTGGGAACAGAAAACTGAATTGAGATCAAATGTTTCATAGATGTGAAAATTTGCAGAATGTCGGCCAAAATCCATCTCGCTCCATCTTCTCCCACTGCCGACCACTGGGCTTCCTCTCATCACCATATTTGGTGGTGAGTGGAAATGCCAACCGGATTTTTACATCCGGTGAAACATCTGGCTTGTTGTTTTATCTGTGGTTATACCTATGGAACATTCAAAATTCAACTATAGAATTTACACATCGTATAATGAAAACTTGGTGCAAGCAATGCCAATGATTATGTGAAAGCGCATCTCACATTCGAGCTATGGGGCTTCTATTCGGCGTTAGCGTTGTGATGTGCCTCTTCAATTAAAGAGATTTTCATTACGAAGAGAGCATGGTCACAGAGGTAGGAGGAGCGGTGTCTGTCAATCATAAGCTCTGCCCCTACACCTCAATCGACACTCGATCGCGTTGACTTATCAAAGCAACCAATGAGGGAACTGTATCTGGCTTCATCCCAAGGCCGTAATTTTCTGTTCAACAGAAAATATTTGGCGGTGTTAATGGTAGAGGGTTCCGAATCATTCAGTTTTGTTTAAAAAATGTATGAAAATGTAGATGCAAATGCTGTAGTAGTTGTACATTTTCTGTAAAAATCACTGCAATATGTGCTTTAGCTGTCACCCTGATATTGGCTACACTCTGGGCGGTTACCTGATGGGCATTCAGATAGAATAATATGTAGAATAGCAGGAAATTAAATGTAAAACTGCAACATTTTCTTTCAGCCCCTGGCTACACTAGCTAGCTACTTCCCTCGCCATATTAAGCTCATCAGCCACATTAAGCTAAAACAGTCCACCTACTATGTATTCAACATTCATATTGCAATGTAAAGCCTTACCTATGGATCTTGGGTCCATGAAATTGGGTATTACCCTACTCTGTGACATCCACAGATTACAATTCTTAAGTGTTTACACAAATATTAGTGTCGTAGCTCATATTAGGGAACTTTAACTATGGGAAATCAATTCACGATTCAGCCTATTGTGCGTATTGAACATTCATATACAGCCTTACCCCATTTAATGGACCGAAAATCCATAGGTATCAACCTACTCAGTGACACCCACAGAACACAAGTGCAAAGAGTTTTCACAAATAAACCTTCAAATAGAAACAATCGACACAATGTCATGTGATACAATATGTCACGTAGAAACAAAAGTGATGCATGTTTCTGGACGATACACCATGCTGCCTTGTTGACAACATGACCGACACGTCATGGGCCATAGATCAGTGACCTGCGGCTCAGCATAATCGAACCTGACTAGTCTCATCCAATATGTAAGGCCATTGGGCATTCACACTGTGGAATGCTTCACCTGATGTGATGGCTTGTATCATGATGGTTTTAAAATCTTCATAAGAGGTCAGGTGTGCTGTGGGGAATGTGATCATGTTTGAGCAAGCACTGACTGTAGGGTAGCATAGGGTGTGCGCTGGCATTCGGACTCAACACTCATGGTCCAATTTGAAGACAATTTTAAAGGCCTGATGTTCAGACAGCAATAGTGGCTTGTGGCCCTGACCCATCAGCCATTGCATAACTTTAGGGACAGTGGGATCTGTTAGTCTGGATGGCTCCACTTCCTGTCCATCTTCTTCCTCTCCTACTTGTTACCCATGCACTGGCGCTTCCTTTTCCTCCTGAAACACACACTTACCGGTGTGTGTTTTTAATGGTGACAATTTCAATGTGAAAAACAATGCTGTGTTCATAGTATGTTCTATGGCTTTTGAAGGCAAAGCAAGCCAAAATAACAAAGTAATTGGACTATGTTACTAGGTGAGTAATCCAATAGATTTTACCATTATAACCTGTTGGTTATGACCATTAATATTGACAATTTCAACAAACAAAAAAATACAAGGCTGAGGCTCACCTGCAGTTTCCACATCTTGAACAAAGTCCTGAAAGTAGTTTATTATCTGACTATGGCAGCCCTGGAGGTTCCTCTCCTGCTCATTTCAGAAGTGATGAGGCTGTCTATGTAGTCAGCATCAGGCTGAAAAAGGATAAATTAAAAACTCTCATACAACATAACTAATAAAACAAATTCACTAACTGCAATCTTCCCCAGGGACAAAGAGACTCTTGGAATGATTTGGCTGCTTCTGAAGGATGTCCAGGAAGCCTTACAAATTATTTAGGAGGTATACACTGAAAATAAAAGTTTTCCAGGCCTTTATATTCTTGTCTGGTGTTCTGGAATAAGGGTGTATTGTTATTTTTCCAGAGGCAGCCTGCCTCCGGAAGAGGTTCGGAAAGGACCTGCAAGTAAAAGGGAGAACATTCACATTGATAAGTCTACGTTTGAGTTTATTTCATCTCAAAATTGTAATGAGAAACAGTGTAGGGAAGTGGAAAAGAGGTATATGAAATAGTGACACACTTAAAACTATGCATCAGAAAGAGAGTTGTGTGTGTCACTATGTTTCAGAGAGAGCATGTCTATTAATCTTATTTTGTCTGCAAATGTGTAAAGTACCAAACCAAGAACCACCAACTTTGGATGCATAACAGTTTCAAAGTGTGTGAGAGTGAGAGGTATGATAATGAGAAAAGTAATACATAATTTACAGATGTATTGATCCATCATCAAAACGGGGTAGACCCTATGATGGGTTGGGTATAGACAACAAAATGACACATTTCCTGTATTCTGGGCCCATTGATATGCACCTGGCCATCTCCTGGTTACTGGAGGAATGCAGCTGTCTCTGGGTCTGTCCCTGCAGCTGACCATGCAATTGATGTACCTGAGCTTGCGAATGTGGTGGCACTGTGTGCAGCCGTAACCACCTCTGAATACTCTAGCTGGATATTAATACTCCTGAGTTAATACTAATACTCCTGAATACTCCTGAGTGGCGCAGTGGTCT